ATCACCATGTCGAACATTGCATTTTTGTTCCTGCCTCTCGCGTTCTCTTCTCTTCCCGTTGTCCTACCTTTCGTGTCTCCCTCCTCTCAAGTTGATAGAATTAAAAATAGAATGGTTCGGGAATTTGGGTTGGTGGTGTTGGAGTGCGTTTTGGTTTGGGCGTTATGGATTGTGCGGTGTGGTTTTTATGTATTTTTGAAATGTGGATATTGATTGGTATACGATTATTAAATTTATATAATTTCGAATAGCGTATTTTTGCACGATTAGGTGGCGATATATTTTGAATTATTACTTGAATTTTTTTATTTAATATTCAAAATTAAAAATTGTATAATATTATTATTAAATATTATATATTTAATATTGTGGATTATATTTTATGTAATTAAATTGAAGAATTTTTAATGTCGTATTACATTTTTTTGATATTACGAAAGGTAGGTTGGTAAGGATTTGTTTGAATTTGGTTTGCGAAAAAAAGAATTGGTTTGAAAGCCTGTTCGGGATTAAAGTTTGGTAAATTAATGTCTAATATTCCCTCCGCTCTTAATTGATATGTAATCTTTCTCGCTTCTATTCCTTTCCCTATTCTCCTGACATACTACGTGTAGTTGTGGGAGTATAGTTGGTTAACATACGACCGTTTATATCTGCCTATTTTTATATACCTTTACACAAACGAGCGTCGACGCAACGTGGCCTCTCTGCAGAGCCGGGTGGCGCAATTTGATCGCAACGGTGTTCTTTTTGAGCCTTCTTGCGCTCTTTGGCTTTGTTGATTTCATCCATGATTGACCAAGGGGAACGTTCCTGAAATATCGGAAACCGTTCCTGATTAGAAAAGGTCCCGACAGCTACCCGGTCCGTCTTTACCTTTCGTGTTTCGCCGCTCAAGTATATATAGGGCTTTTTGGAGTCTTACGAATGTTACGTATATGTCACAAAAGATAATTTTATGTTTTCTTAGTTTATTCTTAGGGATTTTTAATTCTTTTTTAAGATGTGTTTGTGTATTTTGTATTATTTTGGGGGGTTCGTTTTTTTCCGTTGATTATGTAGTATTTCTGTTTATTCATTTCTTAGATTTATCGTTGTTGGATTTATCGTTATTGGTGTCCGTTGTTATTAGTGGTCTTCGCTCTTTTCCGTTGGTTATACTACATTTATTTCTTAGGTTTATCGTTGTTGGTGTCCGTTGTTATTAGTGGTGTCCGCCCTTTTCCATTGATTATGTAATGTTTTTTTTTTCATTTGTCTTCTAAGGTCTATCGTTATTGATGTTAGTTCTTTTTTGCTGGCCATGTAGAATGTCTATTTATGTGGCTCCTAAATTTGTTATTGGTATTCGTCCTTGGTTATGTAGTATTTCTATTCATCTGTTGCCTAGGTCTGTCATTGCTGGTGACCGCTGGCCCATGTAGCATTTCTATTCATTTTATTTCCCAAATCTGTCGTTGTTGGTGTCCACCCTTTTCCGTTGGTTATGTAGCTTTTCTGTTTATTTGTCTCCGAGATGTGTCATTGTTGGTGTCCGCCTTTTCCGCTTGGCGATGCAATTTTTCTATTCGAGCAGTTTGCCGTGACGTAGGGTTTCTCAATTCTTTCTTAAGATGTATCCGCCCTTTCTGTCATTATTGGTGTCCGCCTATTTCTGCTGGCCATGCAGCACTTCAATTCAATTGTCTTTACAATGATTTCTTTATTTTTGTCTCACAGGTTCGGTGCCTGCACTGCTGGTGTCCGCCCTTTTCTGCTAGCCATGCAGCATTTCTATTAATTTATTTCCCATGTGGTTTGTTCATTTTTGTTTTCTAGGTTCGGTGCCTGCACTGCTGGCGTCCGCCATTTTTCCTTTTCCAGCATTTCTATTCATTTGTCTCCCAGGTGATTTCTGTATTTCCCCAAACACGCTACTGTTGGGAATGCAGAAATGCGTTCTACGACAGCGTGTCCGCCTTCCGTCCAGCTTGTCTCCCTTGGTATCCTTTCTTGTTGGTCATTGTGTCTCCCTTTTTGTTGGTAATTGTGTCCGTCTGGTCTCCCTTCTGTTTCCTTTTGTTTCCCTTCTTGTCTCCCTTGTTGATTATTGTGTCCGTCTTGTCTCCCTTCTGTTATCTGTTGTATTGTCTCCATTTTGTCTCCCTCTTGTTGGCCATTGTGTCCGCCTCGTCCGTTCTGCCTCCCTTTGTCTCCGGTCTTGTCTCCCTTCTTGTGGGTCATTGTGTCCGCCTTGTCCCCCTTCTGTGTCCTTTTGTTTCCCTTCTTATTTCCCTTTTTGTTGGTCATTGTGCCCGCCTTGTCTTTGTCTGCCTT